GACCATCAGTGAGAAGGATAACAGAGTAAATCCTTTGGACCCTGCTCCCTAAACACAACAGTCTGATACAGCGACCGCACACACTACACACTCTGCACCAGCAACAAAAACCGAGGTTGCATCGGTCTTTGTCAAGTTCCATGGATTGAAGAAAGTTAATAAGCATTCGCTTTTAGTTCTCTAGGGACATGACATCTTAACCACAGGATTTTCCTCATATCTGCACTTTACCCCCTCTACAATCACATACACAATTATGTTGTAATAAGCTTAATTAGACACTACGTGCAAGTTAACAGGGGCACTATCCACAGTGCCCGCGGTGCCAGAGGACCCTCCATGCCATCAGCCCATAGACATCTCTCATTTAGTCATGTTGTTGTATTAAGTGCAGGGTATAAAGAGCATATATCAGTGTATCAAAGAGAGGATCCACCTTCTGCACTATTCATGTGGCCTTAAGTACAGCTGTGTCCTGTTCCCATTGGGTTGTTTGTGCAGTGTGTCACAGAGCTGCCATGCCAGTGAGACGGTGAGAATAGAAGCAGATTACAGAGGACATGTGATCATTACAGCGCTCAGACCCTGTGGTTTACTCCGGGGGAAACAGGTGGGAGCAGCAAACAGCATCAGCTCGAGATGCAAGGACCGTGCGGTCACTGGGTGCGAGTGTGGGAACCGGGCTAATGCTAATGTGGCTAAATGCTAATGTGGTGAAATGAAATGAAATGTTTACTTTATTGTCTCCATAGGAAAATTTGTCCTCTTATCGTCCCCCATCCTGCAAATGCTTCTAGGGCCTCTATCAGGAGCAATGGTTGCCATAAGCACCTGGAGACCCATCTCCAGATCATGGTGCTCGACTTAGCCTTGGTCAGAACCAAAGCTGAAGAATTGTACCTATTGTGCATGTTTTTAGTGGTAGGGGAAGTTTATAATAAGACGTCAATTGAAAATACATTGTTTTTCACTCTTTTCCTTTCCGTCTGTGTCCCCTGTATGATATATGTCTGGGCTTTGGCTGTAGACAGTGTTTTATTGAGCCAGCAGGTGGCAGCAGAACTCTGTGGGCGTCTTGGTCAAAGATCACTGCCTGGGGCTGTGTGCAGGAGAGACAGAGGAGAAGCAGGCATGGAGGATTACAGCCAGGGACAGGCATCATTTGGAGGCAGTTTGAGCAGTAAATGTTTCTCTCGAGCTGACATGTAAGACACTGGACATGTTGCTATAACTGCATACACAGTAAAACAGCCCAAACGACAACCGTGAGGAAGAGAAGAGGGAACTAAAGCGAGAAAATGATCAAAGAAGAAATCAAGCCCGGGTGGACATACCTAGCTTACATCGTATCCTCTGGAGAGACTTGTCTATGGGTCAGGGCCGCAGACCTAACATGTAAGACACTGAACATGTTTGAGAAGACGCTAAAGTTATTCTAAATAGTGTTACAGTCACTTTTCTGCAGGTTTGTCTGTTTTCACAAACAGCATTTTGTCTAAGACTGGTGCTTTTTGTCACACTTCCCTCTTTTCGACTGGCGATTACAGGAGAACAAAACAAGCTAGAAATAGGGATGTAAAAAACTATGAATTTTCATGACCGACCACCGAGCCTCATTAACCGGTTGAAACCGGTTAACCGCGTAGTTTAAAATAGTCCACGTTCTTTGAAATAACAGCCATTTCGAGCCGCATACTTTTCATAAGTGCAGCTGAGCGTTCTACGGGATCAGAGCCGAGACAGCGGCGCCAAAACCCGCAACAGCTTCGGCACCTTTGCGCACAGAGAACTGCTGTTTTAATCTTCCCATTCTTCTGTGCTGCGGCTTAAAGCATTTTTAAGCAAAAGACAGCTCGTCCACATGGTCAGGGCAGCGAGTGACGAGCCACGTCTCGCAGGTCTCCGCTAAAGTTTAAAAGTGATCAGTGTGGAGCTGATGCCAAGGACCAGCAGCACAAACATGGTCCATGTGGTTTGACTGGAGCCGTGTATTTGCAAGAATGCTTTGGGCTCCGTGACACAGAGGAGCGCGACAGACCGGTATGTGTGTGTGTACAATACATGTATGTATGTGTGTATATGTCTGTGTGCGTGTATATGTAAGCTATGTGTGTGTGTGCAATACATGTATGTATGTGTGTGTAAATATAAGCTCCAATGTAGTTCTGACCCGCACCAGTGTGCAACTAGCAGGCGGTAACAGAGGGGAGAGATGATGCGTGTGGATGTTACGTGTCAATGGGGGGGGGGGAAATGTGTGTGTGTGTGTGTGTGTGTGTGTGTGTGTGTGTGTGTGTGTGTGTGTGTGTGTGTGTGTGTGTGTGTGTGTGTGTGTGTGTGTGTGTGTGTGTGTGTGTGTGTGTGTGTGTGTGTGTGTGTGTGCGTGTGTGTGTGTGTGTGTGTGTGTGTGTGTGTGTATATGTGGCGCGTACGGCGTGAGAGTCGGCCCAGAGTTTACTGTTACATTGGCGCACACAGCTAGATAGGGACCCGCACGTCACATCGTGCAAATAGGGCATAAAATAGCGTTATGAAGAGACCTCCCCTCTCCCCCTTTTCTCTTTTTTAACCGACAGCTTTGACCGGTTAACGCTGTGACGGTCAACCACCGGTTAAACGGTCACCGATTTACATCCCTAGCTAGAAACAAAGTTTTTTCTGCTGCTGAAAGTAGACAGTCCTGTCTTGTAGACTCTCGGTTCCTTTTGTTTCATAGTCATAGCACATAATATTCTATGAGTCTTGAAGATCAGTGAAGTCATACAAAATGGCTGGCAGTCAATGAGTTAAGAGCTTATTAACCATAAACTATTACACACACTTAAAGAAGCTATACACGATATCTTTAATGAGATCATAAAAATGCTTGTAAGTACATACAAGTTGTATTATAATCCATAGTTTAATTGAAAACTTGAGCTCATTGATTCAGCTGTGTATGAATTCAGGCCGTAAAAAGTGCCGAGTAGAAACTTAGCCTGACGCTCGCTCTCCTCCAATCACAGAACGAGGCTGCATCCTCTAGACCAGGGGTGTCATTCATGCGGCCCGCGGGCCGGATCAGGCCCGCCAAGAGATTTGATACGGCCCACGGCTCGTTTATGTAAAATTATAATAATAATTTAAAAAAATAAACAATAAAAATCCGCGCCGCGCTCAGCAGCGAGTCCAGTGCGTCTGTAGTGGCTCCACCAAAGCGGTGCTTAAGGAATAACATCTTAAAGTACGAGACTCTGCAATACGGCACTTTGAGCGGAGAAAAACATAGCAGTAGCATCGCAGCCGCACAGTGAGAGAGTTGTTAAAACTCTCATACAGACTGCAGTCATAGTCTGAGAAACCACTCGCTTTTACCAACATGTTGCCATTGATAAGAGACTGATGTTACTGATGTCACATATTCATATGTGGTGTTACTGAAACTTTCAGAGGAGTTATGAGCGCTCTGCTGTTGTTGCTGGTGCTGTTGGACAGTGTAGACTGGTCCTACACTGCCAGTCTGGTACCGATGGTAAAAGCAGGAGTAGTGGCGAAGCTGCAAATGGAGGTGATGATTTTTGGACATTTGACTGTATTTTACACAGAGACACTGCTGCAGTCGTTAAGAATGGATCCCGTTATGGAAGTTGTTTTGTTCATTTCAACTGAATCATGGTCAGTTTGATGCTTTCTCTCTGATGATAATGATGATGTGCTGTGTTAAAGTGCTTTTTTCTATCTACCTACTTTACCTTTGTGAGCAAGTTTTCTCTGTAATGAGCCGCTAACATACATTTAACAATATACATATTGTGAAATGCCATTTACAATGTAATATTGTAAATACATTACATTATTTGCACTATAAAAAACTCACTGTTACATTTAAGTATTAAAGGACAGTGTTTTAAAGGAACTTTTATATAAATGTGTTTATGTGCACAAAAAGTTGGACTTTGTACCGTTTTTTGGTATTTTTGTAGAGCATCTTCTGGTCCGGCCCACTTGAGATCCAATTAGGTTGTATTTGGCCCCCGGACCAAAATGAGTTTGACACCCCTGCTCTAGCCTCTACAGCGCTGCTAAACACAGTAGCATGTTAGCAGAATTGGCTAAAACTCCTCTTGCTATAACTGCATACACAGTAAAACAGCCCAAACGACAACCGTGAGGAAGAGAAGAGGGAACTAAAGCGAGAAAATGATCAAAGAAGAAATCAATCCCGGGTGAACATAGCTAGCTTACATCGTATCCTCTGGAGAGACTTGTCTATGGGAGAGACCTGCCGGAGCGGAACTGCCTCGGACTATCTATGCTCGGACTACATTTGGACGTGAAACTAGTGGTAATCTTTCAGTTACATATTTTGTTAGCAGTGCGTTGCTTTTGTACTATTTCATCAATGATTGTTGTACAGCTTACAAGAAGTTGCGGTCATGTTAATTGCATGCAATTGCATATGTATCAGATCGCAAATAAAACAGAAACGGGTACCTCTCCTTTAAATAGATGTTAATCAGTGAAAGATAAACTAAAGTGTTACTGGACATCTACATCATGCTCCCTATACTTTTATTTTTAGTGAGTGCATTATTGATCAAAGAAACCAAACTAGATGAAGATTTAAAACTAATTAGAACAGATCGTCACATGAAAGCTAAAAACTCAAAGCAAATCAAACAAGTTTGATTTGAGTTGTTTTTAAATCACATCTACTTGTCTTTGTTTGGTTTGTCCAGGTTTGATTTAGAACGACTAGGTGTGTCCCAGTCGATAGTAACTGTGCCTCAGCAAAGAAGCAATCAGATTTATTTGGAATTATATTGAGTTAGAGACAGCAGAGCACAGAAACCAGAAACCCTGCCCTCTCCTGACATCTGGTGGCCAACCACAGACACTGAGCCAGTTAAGTTTGGTTCTGATTATAGAAAAGTGTACGTGTGCGTGAGTGTGTGTGTCTCTGTGTGCGTGCGTGTGTGCATGTATGTATGTGTGTGTCTCTGTCTGTGTGTGTGTTTTACCTTTTTAAAGTCAGATTTGGAGGGCTTTGCTAGCTGCACATCATTGTCATCGCTGTCGTCATCTGCGTCACTTTAAACAAAAACATAACAAACAAAACATTACGAACCGCTGCAGAGACGAAGAGTAGAAGAAGGAGGTAATCAACATACTCATCGTCCTCGTCATCGTCACTGTCGTCTTCGTCTGAATCCATTTTCAACTTCTTCTAAAGACAAAAATGACATACATATTGTTTAGGTAATTTTATGACAATGATAATGTACGAGTATTTTATCAGAATTTCAATTTTCCATCATTTGAATAAAACAAATCCAACAGGAATGAAACAGGAAGCTGGTGTGTGTTCAATTCCACATCTGGGACCTTTCTGTGTGAGTATGCATGTTCTCCCCGTGTCCGTGTAGGTTTCCTCCAGGTGCTCCGGCTTCCCCTACCACTAAAAACATGTACGATAGGTGAGGGTTGAATGAGTGTGTTTGTGGGTTGACAGATGGAAATGAGCTACTTAGCTACAATCTGTTGTATTTACAGATCCTGCTGCTCATGAACACACACTTCCCCATCCAAATAATCTAATAAATGCAAAAGCAAAATAATCCAGGATTTTGTTGAACTCCATTTTAGGAATAAGTATGCATACAGCATTGTTCAAAGAGAATGAAATTTAACTTTCAAGGTAAACCTCCTAGTAAATGTGTATTGTATGCACTAATTAAGACATTTGAGGATTTTGTTGTTGTTGCATTTTACCTATTTTTTCTCTCGTGCCTAGTTTGTGCCTTCCCGTTACTTACACTGACAATAAAGGATTCTGAATGTTCACACCTTGCCCTAAGCATTAAATAGCGAAAAAATCTGGTCTCTCTCTGGTCTCTCTCTCTGGTCTCTCTCTCTGGTCTCTCTCTCTTGTCTCTCTCTCTTGTCTCTCTCTCTTGTCTCTCTCTCTTGTCTCTCTCTCTTGTCTCTCTCTCTTGTCTCTCTCTCTCTTGTCTCTCTCTCTCTTGTCTCTCTCTCTCTTGTCTCTCTCTTGTCTCTCTCTCTTGTCTCTCTCTCTTGTCTCTCTCTCTTGTCTCTCTCTCTTGTCTCTCTCTTGTCTCTCTCTTGTCTCTCTCTTGTCTCTCTCTTGTCTCTCTCTTGTCTCTCTCTTGTCTCTCTCTTGTCTCTCTCTTGTCTCTCTCTTGTCTCTCTCTTGTCTCTCTCTTGTCTCTCTCTTGTCTCTCTCTTGTCTCTCTCGTCTCTCTCTCGTCTCTCTCTTGTCTCTCTCTTGTCTCTCTCTTGTCTCTCTCTTGTCTCTCTCTTGTCTCTCTCTCTGGTCAGGCAACACTGCAAATCTACCAAGACGTGGCTGTCTGGTCGTTATGTTTGTGGGTGTGAATGTCTGCGTATAAGTCACCGGTGGAGGTTTCTTCCCCGAGAGTCCGGCCGGTCTTTTGACGGGAGACGAGTTGTTCTCCTCATCATCTTCATCGTCGGACTCCTTCACACCTGAATTAGGGGAGGAAATGACAGCGTCTGATTTCAGAGAAGGTTCTGTTTAAACCTGTAGAATATTTCAGTAGTTTTGTAGACAACACGGGTCAAATGTATTCAGTTTCAGAAAACACACTCGGGAAATATGCAACATTTGGAGTTTCTAATTGTGAATTAAAGAAGCTGCATGTACTTAAATGATATAGTACATGCAGGTATGATTCAAATACATCAGTAACAAGTCTGCATTTTGTGGCCTCGGTCCTTGTTCTACAGCCTGAGTCCTGGATCTACAGCCTGTCCAACTGTGGGGACAGATCCCTCTCTCAATGTGGGCGTTGCCGAGGTTTCTCACTTTTCTCCCACTCGGTTTTTAAAGAGTTGTTCCTCTGAGGCAGGAGGGTCTAAGGACAGTGGTAACATTTATGGACATTGGTCATCGGCCCCTTCTGGACCAATGGCTCTATGTGTTTTTTTCATTCATTCATCATTGCATTGTTTGATTCTCTGATCTGCTTTGGTGAATGGACAGCTTTGTGAAGTCCTCTGAGATAACTTCTTTTGTGATTTACAAAAGTGAATTGAGTTGAATGTAATTGAATTGCACCAGTGTTTCTGTCATTTGACACTGGACTCTCAGCTGCTACGTGTTACAGACCTGTTTCAGTACAATGGTGATGATAGTGACAATAGTTATGTACAGTGCCTTGCGAAAGTATTCGGCCCCCTTGAACCTTTCAACATTTCGCCACATTTCAGGCTTCAAACAAAGATATAAAAAAAATATTTTTTGTCAAGAATCAACAATACAATCGTGAAGTGGAACGAAATTTATTGGATAATTTAAACTTTTTTGACAAATAAACTGAAAAGTGGGGCGTGCAATATTATTCGGCCCCTTTACTTTCAGTGCAGCAAACTCACTCCAGAAGTTCAGTGAGGATCTTTGAATGATCCAATGTTGTCCTAAATGACTGATGATGATAAATAGAATGCACCTGTGTGTAATCAAGTCTCCGTATAAATGCACCTGCTCTTTGATAGTCTCAGGGTTCTGTTTAAAGCGCAGAGAGAACCATGAAGACAAAGGAACACACCAGGCAGGTCCGAGATACTGTTGTGGAGAAGTTTAAAGCCGGATTTGGATACAAAAAGATTTCCCAAGCTTTAAACATCTCAAGGAGCACTGTGCAAGCAATTATATTGAAATGGAAGGAGTATCAGACCACTGCAAATCTACCAAGACCTGGCCGTCTCTCCAAACTTTCATCTCAAACAAGGAGAAGACTGATCAGAGATGCAGCCAAGAGGCCCATGATCACTCTGGATGAACTGCAGATAACTACAGCTGAGGTGGGAGAGTCTGTCCATAGGACAACAATCAGTCGTGCACTGCACAAATCTGGTCTTTATGGAAGAGTGGCAAGAAGAAAGCCATTTCTCAAAGATATCCATAAAAAGTCTGGTTTAAAGTTTGCCACAAGCCACCTGGGAGACACACCAAACATGTGGAAGAAGGTGCTCTGGTCAGATGAAACCAAAATTGAACTTTTTGGCCACAATGCAAAACGATATGTTTGGCGTAAAAGCAACACAGCTCATCACCCTGAACACACCATCCCCACTGTCAAACATGGTGGTGGCAGCATCATGCTTTGGGCCTGCTTTTCTTCAGCAGGGACAGGGAAGATGGCTAAAATTGATGGGAAGATGGATGGAGCCAAATACAGGACCATTCTGGAAGAAATCTTTATGTTTGAAGCCTGAAATGTGGCGAAATGTTGAAAGGTTCAAGGGGGTCGAAAACTTTCGTAAATATATTTATCATCGACCAGAGACGACTCACCGACAAAGTGCTGCCCGCTGATGTGGACGGGACCAGAGCCGGACTGCAGCCTGAAGGTGACGGGGGGCGTGATCTCGAACCCGCCCAGACTCACCTGAGGGAACGCAAACATGCAAAAGTCTCAGTTCTTATCAACGCTCCCACTGCTAGAACTCCTAGAGCCGCCATTTTGACTGCTCTCATTCAAACCGATGGAATTCTGAGAAATTGCCTCAAACATGTTTGGATATTTGACAGATGTCTCAAAATTAATTCATTTATATATTTTTTTTCTGTGCTAAAACTGGTGAATATCACTTGAAATTCGGCAAAAAGCAGTTTGTTGAAAATCTAATGTAAACTAGTACCAAGTAAACATTATGTTGCTATGGTAACTAGCACTGGCTCTATTTCTAGCGTCTATTGTGTGTGTGAAAAGTATATGGTAGCACTTCAGATTAGCGGTGCGAATTTTTTTTTCCCTCACCAATTTACAGCTAATCAAATCCTAATTAGTCTTCCCCAACTATGCCACATGGGAAAGTGTCAGTATAGATGTTGAAAAAGAAATAACAAAAAATCATAAAAATAACAGCATAATATTTAGCATAATAATGAAACAAGTATAACATTTCTAAATTTAGCATAATACAGAAATAAACTACATATAGAAACAGAAAAAGTTAAATGTATGAAGACCAAAAGTGCACATATGCCCAGTACTGACACTTACAAAACTAAAGTCTGTGAGATTGACTGCTCTGAGAGTTCTGGTGTGAAAAGAACGATACATGTTTATATGTATATTTGTCTTGTTGTCGTACACAAGGTAAAACCGTGGGCCTCAGCGCGGCCAGGGGGACTTTGGTGGTTTTTCCATCAAACGTGAGTCCTTCCACTTCCACCATGTGAAACTTGTCCTCAGCATCTGCTCCGAGACAAACCTGCGAATGAGAGAAAACTCCATTCAAACCAGTTTATTTCAATTCTATCTATGCTTGTATCCCCCTGAATAACAACAAACAGTTATCTCTGAGGACTTCACAAAGCTGTCGATTCGCCGACACAGATCAGAGAATCAGTGTTGCTTATCTTAATTTGAGTATATTCTCACTTTTCAAAAAGGGACAACGCCATTTATTCTACATTTGAGAACTATATTATCTTCATTCCAAGGGAGATATTTACAAAATCTTCATATCCATTGACAAATCTGGTTTTAAGGCAGTCAGAATGTGCTCAAATTAAGATAGATTTTGCCAAACTTTTTGCAGTGTTCAGTTAGGTTAGGCCAGTTAGTTGGCCCCAAAAATGTTTCATATTTTTTTGGGGGATTTTAGTTAAATCAGAGAGGATTTTGCACTTGTCGTCCTTGCCTTTTGTTTGGTCCACTAAAACTCAATTCAAATCAATTTGTTTTTGTATTGCCCTAAATCACAACAGTTGTTATAAAGCTGTCGATTCGCCAACACAGATCAGAGAATCAAACCGGACTTCAAACACATGAAATGCAATAATAAAAAACCGGCGTGAGACAGGTTAGTTTTACCCTCCTGATGATGTGTTGTTGCAATAGTAATTCTATAGTGGTAATTGCTGCAATAGTTCGGCAGCGGCGCAAAGTCCTCCAAGAGCCATTGGTCCATAAGGGACAGAAACCAACGTCATCTGGCCCTTAGATGTTATTTAAGCAGTGAAGTTTCTGCTCCCAGCAACTTTAAACTTCAAACTTTAGAATCTATAGAATTATCTTTACCATTGCATCCAATACCTACAACTGTACAATAGGAATTTGAAGGATACCAATATATTATATCAATGAATCTGAATTGCAAATTAGCCTTTATTATTGAATTTATTTCAAGGACAGGAAGAACATTCAGACCAGCTCCAGACTGTTCCCAAGTCCATCCTCGAGTCTAGAGGAGACTGAGCCTCTCTGAACTGTAGACCAGCCTCCCCCCCTCCACGTCCGCACTGCTCAGTCTTGTGTTTGTTTATTTAATCATTTGTGACGCATCATAATTCATCGCCCAGAAGAAAAGTGCCTTGAGACAAATACATTTACATTCACATTTAAACACAAATGCAGAATTTGAATGCTCCTAAGTCACCGTTCAAGAACAGTTCACAGCAGATTTCCTTAAGTCCAATGAGCAGTTCCTTTTTTTGGTACAGAGGGAAAAAAACTTTTGAATAATTAGCTTAGTATCATAATTATTGGTGGGGAAGAATGTACTCTGTTTAGTATTGCGAAATTTAATTCAATGATTATCTGTTTAACTTTTGTGTTTTCTCTGAGTTCTCTCTGTTTCCTCTGAGTCATATGAGGTTTGTGTTTAAGTTTTTATAATAACTTTGATTTTATCGCAGAATCGAATCACAAAACTTGCTGTATCCCAATAATATTGAATTGTGACCCAAATATCGCACTACTATCGAATCGTCACATTTTGCAGATTCCCACACCTACTAAATAAATCTTAACTTTTCCTAGTATTTTCCATATTTACTGAATATCCTTATGTATATCCATCATATTTGACGGCTAAATGAATAAATAAATAAATACACAGATGCAGTGTGAAAAATAATAAACATGTGGTCAAATATCGTCACATTTTTGCCAATTCCCACCTCTAATCCTAAAGTTCTGATGGTGAATGCCTGCAGTGTGGATTACAGATCGATCACTCACGGCTTTGATGGACAGCTGCTGCTCCGTGTCATCGTCATCATCTACTTCCACTTTATGTTCCCGTTTGCCCGATGTTAAGGTGCAGCCTAGAGACACGTCACAGTGAATTAACAAAGCACCAAAATGACTCAAATTATAAAAATCCGAATGTATTCCTTCAACAAAAGTAGTTTAATGGAGGAAAACTTGCTAAAAATGGAGGAAAACTTGCTAAGAAGTACAGATGATGGGTGAGAAACCTTCCTTTGCTTTGACTAATCCCTGTACGACTGAGGGCTTACACAAACTTTAATGGAGGCTAAATATTTCCACTGTGCTATCGCTAACAATGGGCTGAATTGGCGCGAGAGGAGCCTCAAACTAATCCAGACTTTAAACCGATTAAATTGTCTAATTCCTAATTATTAAGGTTTGTACATGCAGGCACCAAGTTAATAAAAGTGGTGCATTAATACATTGTAGACTTTGGTGGTAAATACGAGCTTACCGAATAAAAACATTTGAGGTTTGCTCGAATCTGCCATGTTGTCCTCCATTTTGGAAAGGGGCAGGACAATATCCGGCAACTGACTTGATGGACGTGTCGGATAGCCAATAGCAAGCAGGGATACAGGGAAGTGCGACTGAGCTTGAGCCAATCAGAGGAGTAGAAATGTACGGCGTAGGTTCGTCATGTAGCCAGCAGGTGGAGCTGTTGGACAGGGTGTGAGATCCAGACGTAGGTCCAGCGCTGAGTTGGAGTTAATTTAACCAAAAATATCGGACTCTGGTTTGATGTTGCCCTACAAATATATAATCACGAACAAGCTGAAGGAATGTTTATTTCAAATGGAACATAGGTATTACCCATTAAAAGACCCTTGTGTTTTTTTATATGATTAAGATAAAGATTAAGAGATCCTTTATTCGTCCCACAGTGGGGAAATTTCAGTGTTGCATCACAAGTTATTGAACAGTAGGAAAGTGGAGCACACGGCACAAGTTGAGTGAACAATAGCTATCCTAATTCAAATAAAACAAAATCTCTAACTCTAGCATCAATAACAAGTATTAAATCTCTATCTTGAAAATAATAATCAAAGAGTTGTAAATGTTTAACATTTGGCAATAAGGGGCAAGTATAAAGTACTGTGTATTCTCGAGCAAGCAAAGTGTAGCTATACGTTAGCATCTATTCAGTACATGTTAGCCGCAGTGTGTCTACATGTTCTGATGTTCCTTTTGTCAACACTTATTTGTTGAATGTTCTATAAGAGACTTTGGTCCAATTTGCAAAACACTATTTAAATGTAAACATTTTACCAAGTAATGGTCCAAAATTATCCTGTAATGCATTCTATTTAATAAACCTCTTTCTAATCTTAGCAAATTACAAAATTAAAAAGTATATATATTCACCAAAAAAAATACCTTCCTTTTCTGCTTTTAAAGCATCTGATCTGAAAACCTGTTTTAAGTGTGTCTTTTTTTCCCTTTAGTACACTAGAATACAAATAAAAAGTACTACTTGTTCTTTTGTTATGATTTTCAATGGTCGAGAGGAATGCATCCACACACATCAAAATCTATTTACTGGATTATTAAAGTTTAAACATTAAACACATTTTTCATGCATCTATTTTACCTTGATATTCCTCATCCTTTCTTATTTCAAATCTCAAATTATTATTATTATTTCAGATTACACAGATTATAATGATAATAGTATTTGTGGTATTTTTACACAACCATCAAGAAGGGCTTGATAAATACTTCATCAACTCACATAAACTTAGGTTTATGCTAAAGTTAGAGATGTTATTGTTCATTTGTCTTGTGCTGTGTCCTTAAGTTCTGTCACTGCTGATGCAACACTGACATTTCCCCACTGTGGGACGGATAAAAGATCTCTTCATCTTCATCTTGAACACACACATCTGTGGGTGGAGGGGGGGGGGGGGGGTCTTCCAAACACCTGCAGTAAAGCACAGTACGGACTTAAGGAAATGGCGAGGCAGGAATTTGTGTAAACGAGGCCAAGTCACGTCTTCAAAGTGAGAGATGAAAGAGCGTCACCTGGAGAACAGCCCACACTGACAGGATCCCAACCAGGCAGCACGGCCTTTCCAACCAACACAAAAAACACACAACCAGGCAGCACGGCCCTTCGAATCAACACAAAAACACACAACCAGGCAGCACGGCCCCTCCAACCAACACAAAAACACACAACCAGGGAGCACGGCCCTTTCAACCAACACAAAAACACACAACCAGGCAGCACGGCCTTTCCAACCAACACAAAAACACACAACCAGGGAGCACGGCCCTTTCAACCAACACAAAAACACACAACCAGGCAGCAAGGCCCTTCCAACCAACACAAAAACACACAGCCAGGCAGCACGGCCCTTCCAACCAACACAAAAAACACACAACCAGGCAGCACGGCCCTTCGAATCAACACAAAAACACACAACCAGGCAGCACGGCCCTTCCAACCAACACAAAAAACACACAACCAGGCAGCACGGCCCTTCGAATCAACACAAAAACACAACCAGGCAGCACGGCCTTTCCAACCAACACAAAAACACACAACCAGGGAGCACGGCCCTTTCAACCAACACAAAAACACACAACCAGGCAGCACGGCCCTTCCAACCAACACAAAAACACACAACCAGGCAGCACGGCCCTTCCAACCAACACAAAAACACACAACCAGGCAGCACGGCCCTTCCAACCAACACAAAAACACACAACCAGGCAGCACGGCCCTTCCAACCAACACAAAAACACACAACCAGGCAGCACGGCCCTTCCAACCAACACAAAAACACACAACCAGGCAGCACGGCCCTTCCAACCAAAACAAAAAACACACAACCAGGGAGCACGGCCCTTCCAACCAACACAAAAAACACACAACCAGGGAGCACGGCCCTTCCAACCAACACAAAAACACACAACCAGGGAGCACGGACCTTCCAACCAACACAAAAACACACAACCAGGCAGCACGGCCCTTCCAACCAACACAAAAACACACAACCAGGGAGCATGGACCTTCCAACCAACACAAAAACACACAACCAGGCAGCACGGCCCTTCCAACCAACACAAAAACACACAACCAGGGAGCACGGACCTTCCAACCAACACAAAAACACACAACCAGGGAGCACGGACCTTCCAACCAACACAAAAACACACAACCAGGGAGCACAGCCCTTCCAACCAACACAAAAAACACACAACCAGGCAGCACGGCCCTTCCAACCAACACAAAAAACACACAACCAGGGAGCACGGCCCTTCCAACCAACACAAAAACACACAACCAGGGAGCACGGACCTTCCAACCAACACAAAAACACACAACCAGGCAGCACGGCCCTTCCAACCAACACAAAAACACACAACCAGGGAGCATGGACCTTCCAACCAACACAAAAACACACAACCAGGCAGCACGGCCCTTCCAACCAACACAAAAACACACAACCAGGGAGCACGGACCTTCCAACCAACACAAAAACACACAACCAGGGAGCACGGACCTTCCAACCAACACAAAAACACACAACCAGGGAGCACAGCCCTTCCAACCAACACAAAAACACACAACCAGGCAGCACGGCCCTTCGAATCAACACAAAAACACAACCAGGCAGCACGGACCTTCCAACCAACACAAAAACACACAACCAGGCAGCACGGACCTTCCAACCAACACAAAAACACACAACCAGGGAGCACGGACCTTCCAACCAACACAAAAACACACAACCAGGGAGCACGGACCTTCCAACCAACACAAAAACACACAACCAGGGAGCACAGCCCTTCCAACCAACACAAAAACACACAACCAGGCAGCACGGCCCTTCGAATCAACACAAAAACACAACCAGGCAGCACGGACCTTCCAACCAACACAAAAACACACAACCAGGCAGCACGGCCCTTCCAACCAACACACTCAAGGCTTTGGACCAGAGGTGTCAAAGATGCGGCCCGTGGGCCGTATCCGGCCCGCCTAGAGATTTGATATGGCCTCAGCTCATTTATAAAAAATAATATACATATATATGTTTTTAAATGTAAATCAGTGCAGCGACGCGCAAAACAAAACTATACTGATGTTACCACACAAACATGCGCACACATGCACATCAACACACATACATGTACATTTTGACGCTTTTTTAATGGGTTACTTTTGAAAGATTCAAGAAACTCCCCTCTTTTCCACCGGCGATTCCAGGAGAACCAAACAAGCTAGAAACAAACTTATTCTTTCTTTTTTAGAGTAGACAGTCCAGTCTTTCAGAATCTGTCTCATGTTTCACAGAGTCATTGTACACAATATTCTGTGGGTCCTGAAAATCAGTGAAATCATCAAAAAGACTGACAGTCAAATAGCTACAATAAACAACACTCATTTATTTTGCAGTGTAAGGAGCGGCTCAAACACAACAGGAGAGAACTCACAGTAACACCAAAACAGGAAACGCTAAAGACTTATTTTGAACGCCCAAAGTTTGTATGACCCATATCTTTTGACACGTTTTTCCCTGTGGTGTGATGATGATGATGATGATGATGATGATGATGATGATGATGATGATGATGAGGGGAGAATAGGGTTTGGCTTAAAGAACATTTGTAAAGCAGACCTGGTTCTCAAAATCTTGTCAATATTTTCTGGGTCGCAACGATTATTTTTTTGTTGGTTCTGTGACTCTTTGTGGTGAGACCAGAGAGAGACCAGAGAGAGAGAGACAAGAGAGAGACCAGAGAGAGACCAGAGAGAGACCAAAGAGAGACCAAAGAAAGAGAGACCAGAGAGAGACCAGAGAGAGACCAAAGAGAGACCAAAGAAAGAGAGACCAGAGAGAGACCAAAAAGAGAGACTAGAGAGAGACCAAAGAGAGAGACCAGAGAGAGACCAAAGAGAGACCAGAGAGAGAGACCAGAGAGAGACCAAAGAGAGAGACCAGAGATAGACCAGAGATAGACCAGAGAGACCAGAGAGAGACCAGAGAGATAGACCAGAGAGAGGCCAGAGAGAGACCAGAGAGAGACCAAAGAGAGAGACCAGAGAGAGACCAGAGAGAGACCAGAGAGACCAGAGAGAGACCAGAGAGAGACCAAAGAGAGACCAAAGAGAGACCAGAGAGAGAGACCAGAGGGAGACCAAAGAGAGAGACCAGAGAGAGACCAAAGAGAGACCAAAGAGAGAGACCAGAGAGGGACCAGAGAGACCAGAGAGAGACCAGAGAGAGACCAAAGAGAGAACAAAGAGAGAGAGACCAGAGAGAGACCAAAGAGAGAAAGACCAGAGAGAGACCAAAGAGAGACCAAAGAGAGAGAGACCAAAGAGAGAGAGACCAAAGAGAGAGATCAGAGAGAGACCAAAGAGAGGGTCTCCGCTCTGATATAAGACTGTGAGCTGCCTGTTCTGGAGGATCTTTACTGGAATCCAGACTCTTATGATAATCCTGGACTCTTCTGGCCCCTTGAAAAGCCATGTTCCAGCTTCTTCCCTTTGGCAGAAGATATCGTTGGCTGCAGGACATCTGGACATGCTGACCACCAAGAATCTTGTATTGAAACTGTTTGTGTGGATCAATTTCCTAGAGACATTTGTTTCCTTGACTTTTATATCTTTTTAAAAAATCTGTACTTGTCCGCTGCACACTGGGAACTCTTGTACGTGTATTCCAATGTGGTTTTACTGCACATGGCAAATACTCTGAATCCGAGACTGCATTTCAACACGGGTCATGCAGATACAAAACCTATTTTCTAATGTTTTGAATGAAATGAGTGAATGGTGCAGACAAAGGCGAGTGTAAACATATCACGTCGATGAATGATGAAGCAGATACAGCTCTACACTTGTTGGTCATGAATGAGTTTTTCTTTTTATAAGCAGCTGGAATCTCACAGCAAATTTCCTCCGGAGGACAAAAGTTTATCTTATCGTATCTTAAAAAAACATGGAGGCCAAACTTCAGTGTGCACTGTACAAAGTAGGAGTTCAGTTCAGTTACAGTTTATTTAGCGGAAATCCTGTTTGGTTTGTTGTTATTATTACTAAGTGCAGGTTAGACAGGATTTAGATACTGTGACTACAGCACCGCCGCAGTCTCCGCACTGACTTGGACTTGTCGATTATACTTTTCCTGGTTTTATTTTTATTCCTGGTTTATTAACCCTTTACCATTCACTCCTTGAAGAAAGCAATGTCGTTTTTTTCTTTTTTTGGATTATGTAGGTAGGAGTCTGAGAGAGAGACCAGAGAGAGAGACTAGAGAGAGACCAGAGAGAGAGTCCAGAGAGAGAGTCCAGAGAGACGAGAGAGAGAGAGACCAGAGAGAGAGTCCAGAGAGAGAGACCAGAGAGAGAGACCAGAGAGAGAGACCAGAGAGAGAGTCCAGAGAGAGAATCCAGAGAGACCAGAGAGAGAGACCAGAGAGAGAGACCAGAGAGAGAGACCAGAGAGAGAGTCCAGAGAGAGAGTCCAGAGAGAGAGTCCAGAGAGACGAGAGAGAGAGACCAGAGAGAGAGTCCAGTGAGAGAGAGAAAGTCCAGAGAGAGAGTCCAGAGAGAGATTCCAGTGAGAGAGAGAGTCCAGTGAGAGAGAGAGTCCAGAGAGAGAGTCCAGTGAGAGAGAGAGTCCACATTGTAGCACATTGTGACTGCCTTAAAACAAAATGTACCAGTGGGACCAAGTAAAATGATCTTGAAATGAAAATGAATGAAAATGAATGAAAATGAATGAAAATGAATGAAAATGAATGAAAATGAATGAAAAGATACAATAAATGTCTCCATTGGAATGAGAAAATACTAAATGGCTTTGTCCCATTGATGAATCTTGTTTTAACACAGTCACATGTGCTCAGATTAAGATTAAAAACCACTTATTACCTCATATTCGATAATTTTTTGCAGTGTAGGACTCCCGGAATTCTGGCCCATTTAGTCTTAATTCCAGAACTGTTGCTTTTTTTCTCATTCCAATGGAGACATTTCTTGCATATTTTTAAAACAAGATAATTTTGCTCATTAAAACAGTCAGAATGTGCTCAAATTAAGGTAAAAACCACTCAATTCAAGCGATTGTCTCTTGTTTGCACTTTTTGCAGTGCAGTGTGTTTGTTTCCCATACATAGCATTATAATTCTTCATAACTCTGTGACAAATGCTTATGGAATTTCTTTCTTTTTGAAATTTTTGCTCACCCTTTCTCGCTCTGATGGACAATAGACTGTAAGTGCCTTTGAGGACTTCCACAGTGAGGCTGGTTTGCATAAGTATTTGTTGTGGTATGAAAAGGCGAGATAACGAGAGCGACTTGTCCCGACACAGGTGAACTCTGGAGCCACTTCCTGCCAACAAAAGCGGGCGCGGCTCAGATCCGAGACGAGTGATTTGGACTAGGGTCATTAGGAGCAGGTTCCAGAGTGTACACAGTGATGTCAGATAGCAGCGTTTTGTTATGACGCATCCCATAAGCGTTTGTCATAACGTGACCGTGACGATAACGAATGAGCAGAGGCCACGGTGGCGGCGGCGGCGGCGGCGGCAGAAACACAGCAAGCCAATAACAATGACACTGTTTTTAAAGTTTGGGCTGGGATTAGATACTAGACTGTGATAAATGAGCAAATTTCCCAACGGGACGAGACAATTTGGCTATTTTTTTCCAAGAGACACGATAATTCTGACTCAAAAACTTGCTATAAGAATGTTCGTAAATCTTGCAAACATTCTTGTCAAACTCATTTTGGTCGAGGGACGAAAGAGTAAAATTTGGACATGCCTTTTATGTGAGTTTTACTATTAACGCAGGCTTTATAACAAAGCCACTTCAGGGAGGAGCAGGGGCGGAGGAGGGAGGGAGGGAGGAGTCTTGAGAATTGTTTTGCAGTGCCTTAACTTCTCTTTTAATTAATTTAATGTTTTTATTGTCTCTTTTTTAACTATTTTGCATCTTTAAACTCTAACCTATGTATGTATGTATGAATGCAAGCAAGGGACCATTGCACAATTTCCTTCGGGATCAATAAAGACTACATCTATCTATCTATAATATTTTTCTGCACAACAAAATGTATTCATTGTTTAGATTGAACCAAAACTGGAGCAAATATAAAGTTAAACACATTTTTTTATATTTAACTATTTAACTACTAATGATGTGTGGGATTAAAATGTCAAAATACAGTTTTCCTGAGAAAGTAGAATGATGTATAACATGCCATGGCAGCTCATTACCATCAAAGTTAATAATAATAAGGGGGAGCAATTTTAAGGGCCACTAAAATTGCCTTGCAGGGCCTGATATGGCCCACGAGCCTGAGTTTGACACGGCTGTTTGAAAGCATAGGAGAGGGAAGTCTCTGCTTAGACTGCTGCCAACGTGACCTGGCAACGGATGAAGCGGAAGAAAATTTAAAGATGGGTTTTGATACAGACAAATAATATTTACTCTATGTATGTAATATTATTTTGCTTAGTGTAGCAGTGTAGGCTACATTTCAGATTTATGCAGTTAAAATCTGGAACAGTCTTCCTGAAAATGTGAGACAGGCTTCTTCTCTGACAACGTTCAAATCCAGGTTAAAAAAAAATCTGTTTATCTGTGCTACAACTGAAGGATTTGATCTTTACTCTTTTTAATGTACTGTGATTTTTTATTTTTTCCTCGTGTGACTGTCTCCATCTTGCTTTGAGTTTCCTTGTGTATGAACTGTGCTATACAAAAAAACTTGCCTCACTTTGTCTATGCCACTCATCAATAATAAAAATACAAAAAACATGCTTTTCTTTCTTGAAAGTCAAACAAAATGTGTGCCTTATCATTGAACTGTTGGACATGTGCAGAAGAACCACGTGAGTCACTCTACGCCTCTTTGGGCTGAGAGCTGCTGCAGGTTATTTTTTTTGAACCCCTTGTTATTTCATTATACACTACAAAAAGCGACAAAAAATAAGTCAAAAAATCTTCCAATTTGGCAAAGTGTATCTTCATATGAGCACATAGTGATTGCCTTGATATAAGATTTGCCAATGGGACAAATAATCTTGTTTTGTCTCCGTTGGAATGAGAAAATAAAGCAATAGTTGTTGAATTAAGATTAAATGGCTTTGTCTCATTAGAGAATCTTGTTTTAAAAAAGTCAAAATGTGTCAGATTAGGATAAAAACACTTGATTTAAACAATTATGTCTTCATATTTTATCATTTTTAGCAGTGCATGCCTTTACCAAATGGTTGAGATGCAGAGAGATGGCTAAAATGCCTAAAACCAAGTGACAGAGACGCCTCAAAGACGTAGATTTCACTTCCAAGTCGATGTAGTGACTGAAAAAGTGCTTGAGGAAACACCTTTAAAGGGTTAAATAAGTCTTTTTTTTCTTTTTATTTGCTTTACTATTAATAACAGAAGTATTTCTCGCTCCTGGTGCAATAGGACTTCCAGTAGTCTCCCAAACGCCAGCAGCCATAACAACAGTCGTTTTCTCTGTGATTCTAATTCGAGCTGCCCCTGTGTTTGCGAGGCCTTATTTATCCAGGGACCCTTTTGCTGAGGCGGCTCGCGGTCGGGGCCCCCCTCCTCTGTAGCGGCCGCCACCGGGGGAGCCGTTAGTCATCCCGTTTTATGAACCAAAAAACTATTGCTCTGTCCTGCTACAATCCGACTCTTATCTCACCTTTGGGTGGTTTGAAGCTGTAATCAATCCCAGTCCCCCCAGCTCGCAGTACTCATCAACCCTTATTGCATGGAGAAGAAGCCAGAATATCATTTGGAGGCAAGAAAAAAAACAACAGCCGTTTTAATATTTGTTCAAAAAGTCACAATAGGATTTAATATAAAACACTTTTGAAATTTTTGACATTTTCCAGGTTTCAGTTCCAGCCAATGCGATCCGCCGCTGCCGTCTTCATGGGGGGGGGCAGTCGGGCGCACACAGGGAAATGTCCAAGCATGCAATTATTTTTTAAGGTAATGTACAAAGTCAAAAAGCAGGGAAAAAACAAGGGTTCCAAGGTGAGAGCCAGGATTCAGTGTCTGCTCTGCCGCTCGCCGTCCGCCATCCGCCATCCGCAGGCAAAGGCTCAGCACGGGCTTGGGGCCTCTGGGGTCCGTGTGTGTGGTGGGGGGGGGGGCGTCCTCTGCTTTCAGGCCGAGAGCTGCAGGGACAAGTGGAAACCAGGTGTCAATCAGGTGTCAATCAGGTGTCAATCAGGGGAATGGTCAATGTGCAGCTCTGGGCTAAAACAACACTGTTAGACTCTGATAGAAATGGTTCATATTGTAGATGCTGCTTGATTAGTAAATAAGGTTCTGTATTTAGAGCCAGGGAACCTAATTTTATTAACTTAAACAAAAACCCTCAGATTAAATGTCATCCATGATCACCTTCACCTTGGAAACTGTTGCTACACTGCAAAAAGTGATGGAAAATAAGTCATAAATTGCTCAAATTTGGCTAAATGTATCTCAATTTGAGCACATTGTGACTGCCTTAAAACAAGATTCACCAATGGGACAGAGCAAAATTATCTTGTTTTAAAAATATACAAGAAATTTCTCCTTTGGAATGAGAAAATAAAGCAGTAGTTTTTCAAAATAAGACTAAAAATGTCTTTGTCCCACTGGAGAATCCAGTGTAAAGTCAGAATGTGCTCAGGTTCAGATGAAAAATCACGCTAATATAATCTCATAGTATCATTTTTTGCAGTGTAATTCCACCCATTTTTGTTTTTGACTCAAATGTATTCTTCTATGTGTTAGAAACTATAATTCTACTAAAGAAAATGCAAGAATGTTTGTGTTTATTCAAAACAAAAGCGTTTGTGTCTAATTATTTGATCCTGTTTTGAGCAGAGCAGAAACTCTGTAGAAATGAAACAAAAGCTTGTTCTTGGATTAAAAAAAACCTCCTGGATCTAAAGTCTGATTAAACACATTTGAAATGTGTCAAATTTATCTAAAGATGAATACAAATGAGATGATGCTAATAAAAAGATACTAAGTCACTATATAATAAAGTAAAAGTCTTGGAGGAAAGACACCAGCACACTGTCTCACTCTTTCAGATGAATTAAAGGACGGCCCCAAGTCTCAGCAGCCAATCAGAGATGAGCCCTTCAACATTTATCAACATTTCTGGACATTGGTCTCTGCCTCTTTTGGACCAACGTCTCCATGTGTTTGTTATCGTTGCATTTCCTGTGTTTGAACTGTTTGATTCTCTGATCTGTTGTTGGCGAATCGACAGTTTAGTCCTCCGTAAGAACTCCTGTTGTGATTTAGGGCCATACGAAAATAGTAGTCATTTATTTGAGCAGTTTTACAATGTATTTTTTACAGGTACGTATCATTTCAATAAACAACAATCCAAAAGAAGAAGGCAGAAGCTGAAAGTTTATATGTGCCGTTGAATTGAATTGAATTGAATTGAATTGGATTGAATTGAATGTAATTAAAATACATGTAAATGGCTAAACAGACGTCATTTCAGAGTCTGGTTTAAAGAGCGAGACCGTGTGCGGAGTCTTACCTGCTGCTTCCTACTGCTGCTGCTCACACGTCCTTCAGTAAAACTATGGGAACAAATTTACACCTCAACATTCTGTCTGCAGCTCAGGAGACAACAGTTCACTTTTGCATGTTCTGCATGTTCTGCACACACACTGAGAGAGAGCCCTGGGGTCACACATGGACTGTTTCAGCTGCTCGGCAAAAGACTTTTCTTACTTCTATCTGAAAAATCTGATGTTGCGACAGAGGCCCAAACATTCTGCATGTCAAAAATACTGTTTCTCTTTTATGTATTCTTTTAACAATCCTTTAAAATCCCCCGGCTTTAAATAATTCTTCAGACAAGGTTTGATTATTGGGGACTTAATAATATTACACTGAGTTTGACATAGATACTTTTGGGAAGAATATACTTGATCATTTTAATGTGTTTTAAAATGATCTGAGTTGGAAATAATCTAAATTTGGTGTCAATCTCAAAATGCTGTTTTTGTCCAGAGCTGCAGATGTACGACACAAACACCACAAAATTGTATCTTTCTGAGTAAGAATGTATCAAAGAGGACATTTTGTGCATCTATGTTGATGTACTCTGATTATTTATGATTTAATTCCTTGTACTGTTTCCATCTTGTTTTGTTCAGAACTTTGTGTTGTGCTATACGAATAAACTATCCCTCAGCTTCATATATTTCTCTAGTAACAGTAAAACACATGGACACGCTTCAATCCCACTTCCCAGAACCAAAAGGATTTGATTAACACCAGGACTCCCAGGATTCTGAAACTATGAGAACAGCCCCTTCAATGTTTCGGAGTTTGAGATTGTTTTTCTACCTTCATTTTAATTAAGTGATTTGTATGTTTTTTATTTAAATCTTTAATACATTCTAAAACTGGTTAGCTGACATATTACATATGGTAACTAGCACTTGCTTCAAGCAGAGATGGCTCTTTTGCTTTTTTTTTGCTTGCTCTAAACCAGACTAGGACCAGTCCAGGACCAGTCCAGGACCCGTCTAGGACCAGTCCAGGACCAGTCCAGGACCCGTCTAGGACCAGTCCAGGACCAGTCCAGGACCAGTCTAGGACCAGTAAGGGACCAGTCCAGGACCAGTCTAGGATCATTCTAGGACCAGTCTAGGACCAGTCTAGGACCAGTCCAGAACCAGTCTAGGACCAGTCTAGGATCAGTCTAGGACCAGTCTAGGATCAGTCTAGGACCAGTCTAGGACTAGTCTAGGACCAGTCCAGGACCAGTCTAGGATCAGTCTAGGACCAGTCGTGGACCAGTCCAGGACCAGTCTAGGACCAGTCGTGGACCAGTCTAGGACCAATTGTGGACCAGTCTGGGACCAGTCCAGAACCAGTCTAGGACCAGTCTAGGACCAGTCCAGGACCAGTCAAGGATCAGTCTAGGACCAGTCGTGGACAAGTCTAGGACCAGTCCAGGACCAGTCTAGGACCAGTCTAGGATCGAGATGATTTCATAAAGCAAAAGTCATAACGTTTTGAAAACATACATAAACTGAGAAACTACAATTCCAAAACGAAAAGCAGTCAAATTGACTGCTCTGGGAGTTCTAGTGTTAACTTAAAAACAATAATAATAATGTTGACGGACACCTGAAAGGAACAAATGTACGAATAAGTAAATACATTTAAATTAACATGAAGTGGATTAACAAGAAAAAAGATCAGAATGATGCTATAATCCTCCTTTATGAAAGCTGTAGGTTCTCTGTCAGGTTCTCTGTCAGCAGTTTTAGTTTACAATGACTTCTATGGGACATTTTTATGGGTAGCCAGCTTGACTTTAGTCTGCAGTACCACAGATGCCCCCCGAGGCCGTGGGTAGGACAGCTATAGCTAGTAATACTTTATCCAGTAATTATTATAGATCCATGTCCCTCCCTTTCCCACCCCGGCTCTGCCCATGTCCCTCCTGTCCTACCCCGGCTCTGCCCATGTCCCTCCTGTCCTACCCCAGCTCTGTCCTACCCCGGCTCTGCCCATGTCCCTCCTGTCCTACCCCAGCTCTGCCCATGTCTCTTTCTGACTTTCCCCTCTCTCCCCTACCTCGGCCCGTCTCAGCCCAGCTCGGCCCTGGTCCATTCATACTAAGTCACACCACAGACGCAGCAGAGGTGACGGACGCCACCTTGTTTTCATCGGCCCAGGGCTGGAGGTTCTGGAGGGCGAACAGGGACGAGTTGTGCAGACACAGGGGGTCCGGCTGCAGCGGCTGGGACAGGGTCTTCTGGAACGCCTCCTGCTGCAGCTGGAGCATCAGGCGGTTTGCCTGCTGCCGCTCTGCCTCTCGCTCCTCCGCCGTCTGTCGTCTGAAGAACAAGACATACAGGTTCAATCTACCGCTTTTATTACATGTCAAACACGAGGATTAAAGCTGGGGTACTTCATTTTCAATTCAATTTGATTTATTTTCGCATAGCCCTAAATCGCAACAGCAGTTTTCTCAGAAGACTTTATCACAGTGTGGGCTTCCTGTTAATTCATCTTTCTGTCATGAGGAGAAATGAATTGACCAGGAACAAATAAGTCGTGATGAATTGGTATTTGCAAAAACTGATGGAACAGGGAAAAAGACAAAGTATTCCCCGGTTTGGGAATACAGGTACTGTAGTTATCACTTCTGTTAAGGTTTGTTTAAGAAGAATGATTTAAAATCCATCAATTTTTTTCCCCTTAATCCCTTTCTGGGTCGGGTGGAGTGGCAGTCAGTGGTGCCACCCAAGTCACAGAGCACCAGCCCCTCAGTGATCCTCCTGCAGTGAGTCCACAGGAGGATGGCTGCTCTGTCTGTGAGCCTTGAACCATAGCCTTGATCTTTCAGCAGGGGCTTCAGACAAAGTGGGGTTAAGTGTCGGGCCCAAGGACACAACGACAGAAGACATCTGAGAGTCTGCTGACATATTGTTGAATACGATTTCATTAACTTCACAATGGAGAAATTCATCTAGTCGCACAAGAGGCTAACGGAGTATATACATTTTGTGCTTGTGTGTGTTGCCACCGGTGAAGTGTTGTTGCTAACGCAGACAACAAATGTTCCAGCCACAAAACGCAGAGAACAGAGAGAAATCTAAATAACTAAAAATCCACACCATGACAGACTTTACCAAGCTGTCGATTTGCCGACACAGATCAGAGAATGAACAAATACTTGCTTCTTTATTATGCTAAGGCTATAGATTTGATACTTTTCCGAGTAAAGCATCTGTGTACGCTTGTGTCCTCTCTGCTACTGCCAAAACCAAAAACAACAAATATGACAATACATTTGATGTGGTGTGACAAATCCTCTTCAAGTAAGTAAGTAAGAAAGTAATGTTTATTTATATAGCGCATTTTACAGACCAAGATCACCCAAAGTGCTTTAAAATGTCTTAGATGCAGATTTTAAAAAAATGACAATATACTTCATCTTCAGACCCTGCAACTCGTTCTGTGAGAAAGAAAGTGTCCGTAGATGAAGATGTCGATGTCGTGAGAACATAAAAAGAACAAAGCCAGATGCAAAAGGAACAAAGTAAACAACGATTTCAAAGGAACATAACATGCAAATATCAGCTTTTGTTTTTGACAGGTTTTTTTAAAGAGAGATTCACACGTGTTCGAGTCGTTTGCATTTTCTGAAGCTGAGATCGTTTCTCTTCTGAACGTCTCACCATCTCGCCAAGACGTGTCCAGTGGGAACTTCGACCAAATGTATCAGTCGTTTACGCGGTAATCAACCCACACTGTGTCGTAGCCTGTCGCTAACACGTGGAAAACTACAAAAGCAAACACAGTGTTGGATTGAGCTGATAGAGTCAAGCAACCTTTTCCACGTCACTCTGTCGGATTCAACTAAATTAAATGTTACAACTTAAATAACTTTATCAATAATAACTTCAGCTATAACATCTTTTAGAGCAGGGGTCAAACTCATTTTGGTCCAGGGTCGAATAAAACATATCAAAGCTCGTTGGAGAAGCAAAAAAGATGCTAGTATAAAATCTATAGATTTAGCATAATAAAGGCGCAAGTATCAAATCTCTAGCTTTAGCATAATAAAGACGGTAGTATCAAATCTCTAGCTTTAGCATAATAAAGACGCTAGTATCAAATCTCTAGCTTTAGCATAATAAAGAAGCTAGCATAAAATCTCTAACTTTAGCATAATAAAGAAGCTGGTAAATAATTTCTAACTTTAGCATAAAAAAAGAAGCAAGAATAAAATCTATAACTTCAGCATAATACAGAAGCAGGTAAACAATAGTAATATTATTATTACTTGTATAATATATATTACTATATATTATATGTAAATAATATTATATTATACATGTTTGCATGTTAAATAGCAATGTAGTGAAAAGCCAACATGGTCTAAACAACACACCTGCCTTTTCCTTGTTGACAACACAGCATTTCAACATGGGTCAAAAAACAAATCGGGGAAAAGCCTTAAGAATTTTGTTTCATAATTTTTGTTAGTTTTAGACATAATTTATTCCATAGTGTCTGAACCTTTCCCGATCACGGACTCGCCGACAGCTGTGACCGATGGAGAATGATCCCCTTTAACTAAACGTCTAATAAATGCTGATAATGTAGCGCACGATGCATAAACGACACATGAGGGAAGCAGGTGGAAGTCCAAACACTCTCACACACACTGAGCCCCATCCATTAGCTACACATTATTGTTAACAGAATTATCCTAATGCGATTGGCCGCCTGCTGATTCGATCACGCTCTTGTTACTAGCGTAGTCGTCACGCAAAGACATCCCTCACGTTTGCTAAAGAGAACGCCATGAATTTCAGCAAAACTGGAGAATGAGAAAACCCCTGTTCCCCTGTTGTAGCCGTGTATTTTATGATCCTATTTTCAACCATGCATCAAACTCTGCTTTTGTTTGAGGAGAAAAATGACTTTGCCTCGACCAAGTGATCTCACATCCACCACAGCGTTTCATTTCAATCTTTTTTGAGCTAAAGTGGAAAAAAAGAATGAGGCAAAAGGAAGTGAAATAAGGGTAATGTTGTGTTGATGTGTATTAGCATCAATTTTCAGCAGCAGTGGCGTAGCTAGCTATATGGGGACCCTGGAAAAAAATGTGTTGGGGGGCCCCTCCCTATGTGTTTGTTAAAATATATTTTTTAAATCGAGTCATTACTATGTATTTAGTTTATTAAAGCTGCATTCACTTTATTTTGTATTCATTACAATATTCAACCCATATACATATAATGCATTGGAATATACGTCCTTTTGAAGAAAAAGTAGCGTAGATTTGTGCTGGTGTGTCATTTTATTTTAGATCAAGTTTTTGTGCAACAAGGAAGAGAATTTGTTTCGGAACCAGGTTGTGACCAATCACAGCGGACCACTGGCCCCCACTTTCTTGAGAAAAGCTACAGGTCTCTCGTTAGCATAGACAGCTGAGGTAAACAAGCGGCGGGAGCTAACAAGTGGCGGAGGCTAACCTGAAACTTTCCGTGGCCAGCGCTCACATTCGAAAATTTCACTGATCTAAACATTTATTCCAAGTCTTTTTATACAGCATGTGTCCATTGAATCAAATACAATTTCTTTTTCACACGTCTTTCATGGTAGCAAAGTGGTAGTTGTCGGTCTATTTCTAATGGCTCCAGTACAGCGGTGGGCAGTAATTTTCTACGAGGAAGCACGGTCGGATATCAGGATATTGTGGAAGGCCGGCCTCATTTCCATGTAACTGTAACAATTGCAGGAGAGAAGGAGAGGGAAACCCGAAGATATCCAGCTTTATATTTTTGTAAAACGGCGTTAGCTCATCTTCTACATCTGTGGCTACATTGCTGTTAGCCTTTTACAAAATGGAAACTACTTTGAAGCAATTATTGTTTTATTAAAAATATTTATTTTTAAGTATATATATTTCTCGGTCTGTCTTTTAATCTAATTTTTTTGCTTGGATTGAACCAAACCTGGACTAAAGAAAAAAGGCTTAGTATTGTAGACCAATAAATGTTGATGAATTATTATGAGGTATAACAGGCCATTGTAGCACTCATGATGTTTCAAATCATCCAACGCTTTTTCCTCTCCGCCTATTGAAATGAATGGGAATCAATACCCATAATGCTTCCCATTCATTTCAATTGGCGTAGAGGAAAAAAGTCTGAGGGCAACATACAGTAGAAGCGTGAATGAGGCCGCATGTGGCTCCCGGGCCACACCTTGCCCGGGTCTGCTCTAATACTGTAAATAGTCATTCTAAAACCCAATGAAACTATTTGGTCCAAAACTTCAAATTTGAATCCATTTCTAAAAGTGAGACATGACAGTAAACATACTTGCTCATCATGGTTTTGTATACACAATTATCTCCTAATGCAAACCACTCTTCATTGATTAAACTGTCAACCCCAAATAGTATTTTAAACTAATCCTATCTGCAATTGATTTTCAAAATAACTAAATCTCCCATGGCCAAGGATCATTTACACATTAAAACACTAAAAGCTAATCTGGCCGTAGGTAATTTGCTTATGAGAAATGCGCGCTGTCCCTTTAACTGGAGGCAGCAGGCCATAGTAATCGGATTCCACTCTGGTTTACTTCCAAATGGCTCTAAATAACATTGAGAATGAAGTGAAGCATTTCTTTTTTCCTCTATGACTCGGCCGCTCCATTCCCCACGTGAGCGTTTTGCTTGGGACAGCAGCTTTCTGAGAGGGCGATGGGGTAATAGTGCTTGGGTGGAGTGAACTGGCCTCCGATGGCAGCTGCAGCATAAGCAAAATAGGTGTTGTGTTGTCGGACGCTCTTAATGCCGGAGCTGCGGGGCCTTTTAGTCCTGTTTAAGGCAGTAAGCAGTTTGGATCCCCCCGGCGAGAGGCAGAAGGCAGACACGCTCGATGATGGCAATTTATGGCGCTGGGAAAATGAAAGGAGAGGATCTTGGGGTTGTTGAGTGATCCCTCTGTCGGCGCAAAGACAGAATACTTTCTAATCGACTCAACAGCTTTTGTTGTTGAAGGGTTTCCTCGATCGTTCGGTGGATCACTTTTTCACTATATCTATTTGAAGCTTGGAACTGGATTTTTCCTTCATTGGGGCATCTCTATCATTTGGTTGTTAAGCACGTTTACCATCAAACTGCATTGCAACTAAAGGCCTATAATAAATAAAAAAGCAGGTAAAAGATAACATTGAACTTTGATGGTAAATCCTAAACTAAACTATTGCGTCATGAACTGAGGAGAGAAAAGTTACGTTTATGCCTGAAAATGTCCCAGCTCTCCCACAGTAATGAAAACATTTCATTACTCAGTTCTGTCTTAGATGTTTCAGCATGTGTTTCCAGTAAGAAAAGGTTTAACAACCAAAAAACATTAAAATGTCATCATATTCCTTATTTAAAGTAAAGGTGTTAGGGTGTTTGCTTTGTAAGGGGCATAAAATGGTTCTCAGTGTAAAAATAATAGAAGTAAATCACAAACTTTCCCTTCAAGATCTCAGTTTTTGTTTCGATTAGATGTTTTGAATAACAAATTAAATCTGTGTCAATGCTGACAAGATGGTGCCCTATTCAAATCAATGGCTAGTGCTCAGTAGCGCCCCACCATGGGCATCAAAAGATTATCGGAACTCGTCCATATTAGGTAATTTCTCTGATCCTCCCAGTTCTGCGCAGACGAGATCCCATGATAGACATGTGATTTTAGCAGCGCCCCCTGGTGGAAACTGTGTATATGTGGACTGTTTGCAGCTGTGGATTACCTCCATTTTGTGCGTCTGTTCTGGAACCAGGTCTTGACTTGAGCGTCTGTCATCTTCAGAGCCTTGGCCAGAGTGGCTCTCTCAGCGGAGGCCAGGTACTTCTGTCGGTGGAAGCGTTTCTCCAGCTCACAGATCTGCACGCGGCTGAACGACGTACGCGGCTTTTTCCTCTTCGGGGGAGTGCGGTTCTGGTACGGGTGTCCGATCCGCCGCGTCACAGAGAAGGGCGAGAGTGCTGCTGCAATCACAGACACCATTTATGACCGTGGATAACAGACGTTAAAGATCTGCTGTTTGAGGATGTTCATATTAGACTGAAGTCTAATCTCTGGATCTCTAAGATACTAAAGCTTTATTGGAATAGTTCAAAGCTACTGCAGCACATTCCTGTAACTAAAACAAGAGACAAAGACATGAAATGTTACAAACACTTTGTGTCATTTATTCTATAACATTGAAATGAACAGAGGGGTCAGTGGGAGACTCACCTGGGTAAGCCCCTTTAGCGAAAGCATAATCTGCCAGAAGGCCATTGCTGTCTCGCAGGTGAGCGAGCTCAGGGTAATAGCATTTGGCCAGTGTCTCCACAGTGCTCCAGACAGGCACCCTGCCGATGTCTCCCTTTGGGAGAGCACAGAGGGGTGCGGCGGCCCCCGGCCCCGCTGTAGCCTCTGCGGCTCCACTCTCCTCTGTCTGCTCCCCTAAAGGAAAGGAGACACAGTCAGGTCCTGTCTGCAGCACTGCTGCACACTAATCACATGAACACAGCACACAGCTTTAATGCAGCTCACAGAGCTATAGCACAAGTGCCGTTTGGACATCCTGACAAACTGCACCAGTCCAACATGGATCAAACCTGGACATGTGGCCAATCAGAGGCTCTGTCTGCTCTCATCTCTGTATGAGATTAAACTGGAGCCGTCTGCAGCATGTCATTATTCTACTCAAACCATTTTGACAAATTGAAAACATCATATAATTATGTAGCATTCAATATAGCATGACCTACTCACAGTTGGATTGTGTCGACTGGGCTGCTTCCTGTGCCCAGATTCTGAATCTCTTTAACGTAGATGAATTAAACTAGTGCATAAATGCGCTGTTAAAGAACGGTTGAATCCTGTTTTCTGTGATATGTTTTTACTGTCACACTGTCTGCCTTTCCTGTATTCTTGTTTCTGGGTATTAATGACACCTTATCTGCAGCATCATAAAATATCTATGAATCCTGTCTATTTTGTCAGCCAGGGGTAAACAGAAGATCAATAAAGGTAAGAGGATCGCTGATGCCATGGATCCACTCCTCGTCTGAGCGTTTCCATCTCTCTCCCTCTGCAGCTGTCGTCTCTGTCTGACACTGTGTTCCTCTGTTTGGATTCTGTCACAAATCGCACCAGGAGCAAAATGAATACAAACATCTGCAAAGGTGTCTCCAGAGGGCCCCGCAGCAGCAACACCTTCATTTGCAAGTCATTTGGATGCAAAGTGGCAACACACACGCACACACACACACACACACACACACACACACACACACACACACGCACACACGCACACACACACACGCACACACGCACACACACACACACACACACACACACGCACACAAAAACATAGACTCGTACATACTCAGTTCCTCAATTAAAATTGCTGTTATAAATATGTCAAGAAGGAAATAACATTTTACAATCCAAACATTTGTGGTCCTGGATTTAATATTGTTTTAATTCTTGTTGGTAATTTGCATTTACGGTAATTGTCCAGATGTTGATGTGCACTAATAGTAAAATGTTAATTGTATAATTTTAATGCGACATAAGGGACGTCTACATGTCTTTTAATGAGTTTAGTGACAATGAAAGCTGGAAGTGAATCATTTACTTTTACGTTTTTGTATTCCTTTTTTTTTTGAGAAATATATACTTTACATTTCTATCTGTATTAAAGTTGGATTTTATTTTTTCATAATAATAATACATGGGTTTTATACAGTGCTTTTATGGATGCTCAAAAACGCTTCATGTGTCATTATTCATTCACTCCAAACACGGTGGTGATAAACTACTGAGCCACAGCTGCCCTGGAACACAGAAGAGAGGCAACCAGTCTCTGCCATCGGCCTCTGCCACCACCAACAACCATTCACACACACACCAGACTCATTCTAATGTGGGTGAAGTGTCTTGCCGAAGGACACAAGCACAGTTTGGCACTTTACAGCCACAGCCGTCCCACTGTGGCACCTGGTGTTCCCAGAGGTCTCCCATCCCAGTACTAACCAAACCCTGCCCTGCTTAGCTTCAGAGGTTTGAAAGGTTCTGGCTTTCACCTGCAGGTGGCGCCACATACATCCCGTCTAGTATTATTATGTATTACTCTCTGGATCACTCTTACTTGTTTAATCTAAAACAGTGGAAATATTCTACAGGTCACATCTATAAAATGTCTAAAATATATGTCATTTATAGACAGACCATTGTATTATCAACTTAGTGCGGAAAAATTATACATTGACAAAAAAATGAACCGTCCAAAACAGTCAAGTGTCTGTTTTTACGACCACCTCCTGCTCGACAAAACCACCCACACATAATAATTTATTTGCAACTTAATACCCACCATATTGCAGGCCATATATTTAGCATTAGACTACGGTTACATTTTGGCCGTCTCATTCCCCTCGGCTACACTTTGCAGCCTGCATATTGGTCTGCTCCAGCTCCTGCTAAATAATACTGCATTAGACGGCTATTCTGGGCGACCCGCAGACGGTGACGGACCAGGGGCACATTTATTTAAAAATATATACATAGAGGTATCTTACACGGGACAACTGCAGTGGAGGGTGCAAACAGGACTATAAAAATGTACCAAAGAAGGGAAAGGCCTGTAAAGCAGAAAACATGTCATATTCCCTCATGCTAGCCATTCTTTTAACACACTTAGCTAATATATCAAGGATGTGTAGGACCTAACCTATATATTTTACAATGCGGACCCTAGTTATATCCATGTTACGGCTAAAACATTATTTTCTGAATTTCTGTACGCCTTTGTTTTTCCCACATTGTTACAATTCAACTCAATTCAATACTTTATTTTGGACACATGAAGAGTGTCTTTCTGGAATGGACTATGCCAGAAAGACATACATAAAAACACATTCAAAAAGGATTTATCTCGGGTATAGGCTCCGAAGCCAGTGAGTCCATATACCGGAGAAGACATGGTTTTACATCTGTGACTCATTTGTTCTTCACATTGAGACAAATCATGTAAAACAGCCTCGTCTCCTCCCGTTCGATCTGAAGGGACTCGTAAATAAAACATGTAAAGGTGTAATCGCCGCTTGCCTTGTCTTCGTTTCTCAACAGCTGGGCAATTATTTTCTCCCGGGGATAAAATAACATTGGGATATTTGTGTATTAAAGAGGGCCGGTCTTGTTTGGTTCCCATTTTTTTTTAATTTCCGTGTTGGCACATCTTTTGCACCTGTATTTTTGTTAACCTGCTGGGTATTATTGCTTTGTTGTCTATAGATTTAGATGTTTTTTTTGTGTTGAACTGAAGCAGGATTAAATCTAAATAATTGAATTGTGGACTGCATGTTTTTGATGTGCAGGACTGCGACTCTCATTCATTTAAATAGGGATTTAAAGTTTGCTGATTGGTAAAGGTCAGAGGGCTGCAAGGATATGTGCGTTGGACCGCATGTGGCTCCCGGGCCGCAATTTGTCCAGGTCTGCAACACAGATGTAAATATATAGAAAGATGTGTATTTCCGTTATAAGCGCTGTGGCTTTTTTTTCAATTATAAAAAAAACATATCGGTTTTTAAGGATATTTTGCCTTAATTTCATTGTCCGTTTTATATGCAGTACTAAAGCTTCGTTCTCACTTTGCTAACATTGTAACTTTTCTATATCACATGTAACATTTCAGTTATTGATATTATTGATTTGATTGGGACTGACTTGTATTGTTTTTTGTATGGTTTTTAATTTTGAAGGTGCTATACAAAAATTACAATTCAATCACTATGTATTTTCAATTTTAGATTTCAAGCTGGATACATGAAAGGCCTACATCTGACAACTCCAAAAAAAATTACTTTTTCAAATGACAGAATAAACCTTGTTACATTTCAACTATCGTAAATCCAGCTGTGCCAAATGTGGGTTTCTTTTTTTCTTGCAGTCAATTAAGCTTATATATTGCATTTCTCTTCCACTAATGCAATATTTTTATATATAATACAGTATTTTCAACTGTCGTAAATCCAGTTGTGTCGCAAAATGACGAACGTGGGTTACTCTTTTTTCTTTTTATCCCATATTTGTGCTTCATTCTGCAGGATTCTCTCGCATTTCCCTTCCACAAATGCAGAGTACACAGAGAAGAACACGCGGCTCTGCTAAATCTGCCTCTTGTATAATGCAATTGTCTTATCAGAGAATAAAAGTCGGCCCAGAGAACGCGTCCCCCGTAATGAAAGCGCGTGTACTTAATAACAGTTGTGTGACAGCGCCTCCCTTTCCCCGCTGCGGATATTACCTCGGTCTCAATCTAATAAATACAGCCGTGAAGCATTCTAAAGGGGATATTGAAATATAACGTGAACATATATTGCTATTTATTACACAATGTGGGACACGCGCGGGGCCACTGCGTTTTGTCAAAGTGCGTGAGGAGAGAGGAACTAAGAGGAGACAAGAGGAGCAGCTGCAAATGTGGACTTTAGATCTGTCACTGCGAATGAGACACACACTGATACACACGCTGAGATACACACTGAGACACACGCTGAGATACACACTGAGACACACGCTGAGATGCACTGAACGCACTGAGACCGTTATTATAATAGAGCCACGACTGAGACACGCTGAACACACTGAGACGCACTGAGACGCACTGAGATACACGGTGAGGCGCACTGAATCACATATAGAGACACACACTGAGATACACACTGAGACATACTGAGATACATACTGAGATACACACTGAGACACATACTGAGACATACTGAGACACATATGAGACACACTGACTGAGAAACATACTGGTACACACTTAACAACAGACAGACACACTGAGGCACACTGAGACACACAGAGACACACAATGAGACTCACGCCAACATACACACTGAGGCACACTGAGACACACACTAGACGCACACACTGAGACGCACGCTGAGAATATACACACATAGATACACACGCACACACACTGACACACGCAGAGACACAAACAGAGACACACACCAAGACACACTGAGACACACACCGAGACACACACTGAGACACACAATGAGACACACACTGAGACGCACGTTGAGATACATGCACACACAGATACACACGCACACAAACTGAGACACACGCAGAGACGCATACTGAGATACACACAGACACACACACACACACACACGCACACACACACACTCAGACGCCTGAGAGGACGCGTATACGGCACGCGCAGATGCAATAATAAAGGTACAATTATCATTATTATTATATGAGCATCATAATTATCATCTGGCCACACTTGGAATGAGTAAAGACATTTAATTCAATTTAATTGTGTATTGCCCTAAATCACAACATCTCAGAGGACTTGAGGAGCTTTTGATTCGCCAACGCAGATCAGAGAATCAAACCGCTCAAACAACCATAGATAAATACATAAAAACACGTTAAGTCATTAGTCCATAATGGCCATAAATGTTAATAAATGTCCACAAATGAAATACTGCGCCATGGGTCTACGACATGTTGATCCCATTATAGGATTCCTTTTAGGCTTCTTGATTCAAATATTTGCAGTGTCACTTTGTTATTGTTTTGCTATTAGTAGAATTATCAGCATTAATAGCAGTGTAGTAGTAACACAGGTGTGTCCATTATTTTCACCAACGAAGCTTCCTTTATTGTGCGCATTGGAAATAGTACATTTCAGATCTTTGTAGGCATGTTTTGATTTTATTTTTTACAATTTAATAGTATAACTTATATATTATGACCAAACATTGGAACGATTACTACATGCTATTATTTTATATAAGATAAATTGTCCGTTTGAAAAATGTGTCATATTGTGACGCTTGACGACCCCCTTCCGCTCTAAAACATCTAAAAACACTTTTGAATTATTATTTTCAAACCGTTTAAACAATATCAAAACATTTTGGACGCGCTGCTCTTTTGTTGGTTGAATAATCGCTGGAGACGGATATGGATCAGACCGCTTTTTAAAGGCCTCTATATTCGGCTGCATCCAATTTGCATTGATTGAAGCCTAAACGTTTTCGCTTTTCACCGTGAGCTGCAGCAGCGCGTGGAGGCAGTGGAAAGACGCGGTGTCATCGTAAAAAATTAGGAAAAATATATTAAAAATGCATAAATGTAACGTGTGCAGGTTGAATCCACTCCAGCTGCAGAGAGAAGCTGTCAGACTCTGGTTTCACCTCAGAGCTGCTCCAAAGTGCCACGTTTAAAATGGCAGCCTACACAGACAGCGATGGTGTAAAGGATATTATAGGAAACTGAGCGAACGTATATGTTACTGCAGTGACTGGTGATCAATACCGAATATGAAAATAATTACAGCGACAAAAGCCGAGAGAAATTAAATGAGAGGCCCTCGGTGACTATACGAGTAAAATTGATAAGCCTATTTACACTGTATCTTTTTGCAGTTGACATATCGTCCCCCGGTTTTAATAATTAATCAGGCATAAAGCACGGTGAATTTTTAATGCGCGCCAGGCGATGGGGTGCATTCGAAATAACATCTTCTTTCTGTGAGAATTACTTCGGGCTTTTATGGTGAAAACGTGCAATCAAAACGTCACCATCTGTCCTGGTTTAGTTTCATCCTGCTTTGATGAATAGGTTAAGGTTAATGGTATAAAAGCTGTGTTTTAGGCCTATACTTGCGCGAACTGTGGAGGCTTCCAAAATGCATTTTCACTTTTCTCTCACTGGGTTTTTAGAGTTGTTCCTTCGGTCTATAAGGACAGGGCATGATCCTGGACACGCCAGATTCAACCATATGTATTAACATTTATTGGACATTGGTCGTTGTCCAGTCTCTATGTGTGTTTTTTTAATTTAATCATTGCATTTCCTGTGTTTTAACTGTTTGATTCTCTGATCTGTGTTGGCAAATCAACAGCTTCGTAAAGTCCCCCGAGATAATTGTGATTCAGGGCGATACAAACATGAATTGAATTGGATTGATGCTATTTTACTGTCACTAATAATATTTTTCATCTCCTAATGTGTAATTCACTATCTAAATGGTTGATAATTTATTTGAATATGCGTAATAATTGTGTAGTATAAGGCATACAATTTTACGTCACTTAGCGTCACTATTATAACACCAGAATAGTTCCCGGATGTAAATGCTGTTTCATAAAAATATCTTTGTATGTATGACTATGTAAACTCGTCTATTTTATGCATTATGTATGTGCATCAAGTTTATTTGTTAGTATACCTATTTTTTTGTGTCTATTGCTAACAACAAACGATACACGCATGCGCTGTAAAGTCAGATTTTTATAATGTGACATGGCGGTTGCGTCATTTGAAGCAGTGGGGCAGTTATCCGCGATCTGCTGCAAATGGAGAGTGATGCTCCAATCTCGATTCATCAGAACGTCCCTGTCAATCTGCGAGCTCGTTCATCAGCCGCTGCTCACTCACACACAGTCGCCATCTATAACGCAGCACGATCACTGAGAGGCCGTAATCATATTCAGCAGAGACATATAATGTCGTAATCCGCTGTGCGTATAATACACAATAATATTTGTTTTGTTTTTTTTCCACTGACAATGTCTATCTTAATAAGGCGCTGTGCAAAAGTGTAACTACAGCTTATTTTACCGTGTTTTAAAAATAGATTCTTGTGTTAACATTGTATGTACAGTTTAAATACAAAATAATGTGTTTAGCCAGATTAGCTAATTGTTCAATACGTTATTTCATTTGATTATGATTATTGTTATAGTATGACCTACTTATCATTATATTAGCATCTGTCCGTTTATATGTTCAGGTCCAAAGGAAAATATACTCCATATCCTATTATTATAATTATAATCATTATTATTATTATTATTATCATTGTTATTTTTTTGTTAATATTCTTTATTTAGGACACATACAACACGGCCCATAGTTAAAAGATAATATACAATACACACAGGATATTGCATATTTGAAAATTAATATATACAGGAAAACAAAAACATTACAAGTGCTGTACATAGAGGCATGACCTCCACTAAATCCATACTGTTTTTGTTGTTATTATTTTTATTATTATTATTATTATTAGACTTTATTAAGGATTCAACGGCACAGAATCCATAGTTAACAAGAAAAACCCGTAAACTGTAGCATTTTGCCAAAATTATCACTGTCATTTTCTTGTCAATTTACATACGCGGGTTTAAGGTTTGATAATCAATCACGTTTCTATGTCCATTTAATTATTTAAATGACAGATTTGTAATAGTACATTTGCAAGGCACGCGCCACAGTGTCATATTGTCTCGTGCCAATTATTATTGATATGAATATGTTCAAGTCAAAACATGGCGATATAAGTATTTACCCGTGAGTCTGTCCTTTGCGAACCTCCTGCTGCTCTCCATCCAGGGGAATGTGAAGTTCCCAGCGTTGGCCATCCCCATCGCGGGCACCGGGGGGAGGCCTGGGTGCGCCGAGGGTGGAGGGTGAGGAGCTGCGGCTGCGGCTGAAGGCGGCGGATGAGGCGGAGGCGGCATGGGTCTGTGAGCGGGCACCCGGATCACCCCTCCCGCAGCGCCCCCAGAGTTCACGTTCACGTTCATATTCATGCTCACGTTCATGTTCATGTTGACGTTGTAGGAGCCAGCCAAGCCCGCGGCCGCCATGGAGCACGCGGGGTTGTAGACGCTGTTGTAGCCATTGCTGTAGACGTTCGGAGCGAGCGCGTAATCCGAGTCTGTCCGGTTTGGAAGCATGCATCCGCTGGACTGATCCGAGCTGTTCAGGATCTGGTCTATGCCGAAGCTGATGGGCTCGTGCTGCTGCTGGTGCGTCTGGCTCACCTCCTCGATCCCCGTGTGCTCCATGGTCTGTGGAAGTTGTCAGTCAGTGGATTTAGGCAGGACTTTAAAGCCGAAGAAGACAGAGAAAAGGCCCAGTGCGCGCTCTGTGCTGCTACTCCCTGGACACCGACAGCGCGACCCCAAACCTGCCCATTATTGTTGTTGTTGTTGTTGTTGTCATATGTGCAGAAAAGCGCTGGTCCCTAAAGGAAAAGGCCCTCCGCGCAGCAGGGGCCCCTCGGTGAATCCATTGTAAACACGTATCCACAAACAAAAGGAAGAGTCGGGAACAAGCAGGTGTTTATCCGGAGCGTGCGCACGTCGGAGAGTCTGGCCGAGCTTTGTTCGTCTGAGATCCGAGACGGGAGCGCGGAACATGGGCGAGTGAAGCCGGGGAGAGGCGCCACAGAGGCCGCAGAGAGAAGAGGACACTCCGCGCAGGAGGCTGGAGGAGCAGTGCGTGGTTCCAGGTGAGACGAGCTCTGCGTAAAGGCTGCCATTCGGTCATCCATCCATCCAGAGCCTGCCTCCCCCTCCTCCTCCTCCTCCCCTCTTTCTCGGAGCGAGGATAGTCTCTGGTCTTAAAGAAGCCGCAGCTCTTAGCTCAGGCCCCGGGTCAAAGCGCTTTTGGAACATTTCTGTGCAGCTTGTCAACACTTGCAGCTGATGCTGATAAAGTGTTTAATATGCACTTCATTAGATGTTACGCTATTCTGCTCCAGAAACAATTCTTATAGAATCTGTCAAAGCTCAAGGACAAAGACTGTGGAAGCGCCTCCTTTTGTTTATGAGGAAGAGCCACTGTGTAAACACAATGGCAAAAGTAGGTCTGAAACAATATTATGAATTATTGTTATTATTGATTATTTTTATCAGTGTTTTTATAATAATACTAATAAGTCTCTCTCCGCCCAAAGAGCATTTTGAACATTTGGATTGTGGGTAAATAATGCATAAACTCACCTAATATAGCTTGAAAGCGCGTGCGTAGACACTAGGGCCTATAGAAATAACATCATTTGGCCAATGATGAACAAATAAGAAATAGGCTGCAGAAAAAAACCTAAATGGAATGAACACAGGGTTTAAAGATCAGGATCCGCCAACGGCTGCATGTTTCCCCCTGCGTGTGGAGTAATATAACATAATATATATATATATATATATATATATATATATATATATATATATATATATATATATATATATATATATATATATATATATATATATATATATATATATATATATATATATATATATATATATATATATATATATATATATATATATATATATATTATTATGTTGTATATGTATATGTGTGTGTTGTGTAAATGGGATATACATTATATTTTAATCTTATCAAATAAAGGCAGTTTTGAAGGATCAGAGCACAATAGGATGTAGTAGAAGAGTGCACGCGCGGAGACGCGGTGGATGTAAACATTGGCGTCACATTATGAAACCTTTGCTGATTTGCACAAATGATTTCACCTCTTTCCGCCCGCGGCGGTTACGCAGCGCTGACGCAGATCGCCGCGGTCTCAATTCAATAAAGATGAAAAATGGCTCATAATAAAAGCGCGACACGGGGAAAAACGAATTTAATATATCACCGTTTTATTACGCACTTATTTCACTTTCCGTCCGAATAAAGATATCTCTCTGCTGCACGAGGTGGCTAGAGGGAAGCATAAAAATCAATTGTGTGAATTCAAGGCCATATCAATAACAGTCCGGGACGGGTGAGCACGAGGAGAGCTGCTATTAGACCTGTTTAGACCCGCGCCTACAATCAAATGAATAGAGACGAGAGGACGTGCGCTCGTAATTGGCCGTTTATGCAAAAGCAGAAAGATGTATGAGCAGGAGACAGGAGGCAGTGTGCGTGCGTGCGTGCGTGTGTGCGAGGCTCTGGGCCATAACTCTGCTGCTGTGTTCTAGTCTTTAGAACTATATACTATTATTACATTATTACATAACATCCAAACAATCAAAACAACCATAGGCCTAATAGAAAAGTACCTGTTTGCCTTGTTGTTTTGTGGAACAGTTTAGTACAGAACTGATTTAATGTTGGACTCTGAGTCTGTCCGCTGCCTCTGAGCCCACACAAAACAGAAGCATTTAAGACGCGACAATGATCATTATTCTTTATTATGTGATAAGATACACCTGAAACAGTGATTCTTTAGCATCAAACCAGCAGTGTATATGCCCATAACTGAGCGTAGTCCACAAACACTTTCTTTTATAATGATGGGATAAATACAACATAAGCTCGTGCGCTGGTCATCAGAATGTATCGTTGCGCCCCGTGACCCACTTCCCTAAAGGCTTCATTAAAACACGGTCTAATCCGATCAGAATCGAAGAATAATTGTCAGTGCCATTGTGTAAGTAACCGGAAGTCACACAGGTAAAAGAGGCAAAGGCATCTACAAACATCTTAATATAATGTCTTAAAATTACAAGTGCACTATATAAGTTCACACAGACATTTAACAGTGTCATGCAGGGGTCAAACTTTTTCAACCGGAGAGTTACTTTTATGCAACAAAAGAGGCAGAGAGCTACTCCTTTTTGCACTCGTACTAAAAAATCAATCAATGACAATAATTACGACAAAACATAATACATAAATATACCATAATACTGTAAAACCCAATATGTATACATAAAATAGACATGTAAGGACTCCCAATGTATTCATTCAAGATCATTTGTTAAAGTCTAAATCCTTTGGGGAGCTACCTGAAAGGGGCTGGCGAGCTGGTAGCTCCCAAGCCACAGGTTGGAGGCCCCTGCGTTACATATGGGACCGAAAAGTGACAGTATGTGACAGTTAAGCAGGTGTTTCCAAACTTTTTCACCCATGAGCTACTTTCCCAGGACGATAAAGGCAGAGAGCTACTCATTTAAGCGGCTCTGCGGGAAAAGAAATTGGTGAAATCTTGGTGTGAACAAGTCTGATATTGTATACAGTCATTATTTATCATCACATATTTGTTACTATGACAATTATGGCATTTACAATAATACATAATAATAATGAAGAATACAAACAGAAATATTAAGTATATTATTTGATTTGTTCATTTCTAAATCCTTTGGTGAGCTACTTGGAAGGAGGTGGCGAGCTACTGGTGGCTCCCGAGCTATATGTTGGAGGCCCCTGCAGTAAAGTGACGTGATATACAGTAAAGGGACAGGATAACGTTTGTAAAGAGTAGGGGTCAGTGCTATACTATAAGACATCCTAAATTATTATTATTATTATTATTATTGAAATGACTGCCTCCAATCGAGAGTCCACGGGAGGTCTGACTTTAATGCGAGATCCCTGTAATCCGCGGCTATAACAGCAGACTGAGAAAAGGCCCATGGTCCCTCTCTCTCCTCTTTGCCCACAGGCGGAGCGCGCACGGCTGGCGGCTGTGCGTGATGAATCGTCATCTCCAGGCCACGCAGCTCGTAGGTAATAAAGTACCAGCCGCAGCAGACAAAGGGATCTGTCACTACAGGCTCCGCGGTGGATCACGGTCACGTCACGTCGCGTATATAGCCCCCCCCCCTGGACTTATAATGGAACTTATAATAATAGAAAGGCGATGGGAGTTTAAAAGTCTTAACCTGAATTCCCACTCCTTTTTGAGCTGCTTTTTGTTAATTACACAAAACATTGCATGTGTTCTTTCTTTTTCAATGTTGTTGTTTTTTTGTTCATGCATGGCTCGAAATAAAGTATTCACATCATATCAACTTGCCTCACGCTGTCAGTATAACGTCACAACACCGAATGTCGTGTTTAGAGACGTAATTGGAAATGAACGTGCCAATTATTTTTTGTTTTTGACTGTTTTTGTTTTATATTTTGAGCATTAATTATGTAAACACGTGTAGCCCTGGAGCATAAGGGAGCATTTAAAAGCAAGAACATTTTCAAATTCAATCAAATGCATAAAAGTCATGTGTCTATATATCCCTCACCCCTGGCTCTATGTGTTTTTTATTATCACTGCATTTTCTGTGTTTTAAATGTTTGATTCTCTGATCTGTATTGGCGAATCAACAGCTTTGTATAGTCCTCCGAGGTGTAGCGCTGTTAGGGCTGTACAACAATACACTGATTTTAATTTTATATACATTAACGTGGCCAAAGTAATTCTATAACTTAGGGGTAATTTCAAACCACTCTGTAAATAGGCCTTAAACCAATGTTGTTGTTGTTGTCGCGCGCAAAAATACAATTCACCAAATATTGTCTGGGTGTTAATATTTTTGCTTTGGCGTTTAGTGAGCGTCTATACGTCATAACGTAAATATTGAGCATAGAATGTATTATGAATATAAGTTTTAAAGCAAAAGAGGTTTGTGGGTCAAAGGCCTATATTTGGCAGCTGCTGTTATTCTAATATGACTTTTTCTCTAATACACTGCAAAAATCGCATTCAAGGATGTGGAAGATTATTGTGACGAAGGCTCATACCCTCCTCCTCCTCCTCCTCCTCCTCCTCCTTTTCTTCCTCTTGCTCCTTCTCCTCAGCACTTGTCCAGGATTTCACAGCAAACAAAAATTGTATTTCTCTCAGTGCACACAATGAATGCAAGAAATATAAAACATGTAAAAACAAAAGAAAAGCAGTGTTTAAAAATCATGGAAAGTCACGGAAAACCTTTTTGAATTGAGTTTGTAAAATAAGTTCTTTTTTTTTTTTGTAAATGAGTGAATATATTAAGATCCAAGAGGCTGAGTAATTTTTTTTCAAGCGACTGGTTCTGGAGAGGCCATGGGGAAACATATGTATCTACAAAATCCACACCAGATCCAGGCACACATTTCGACTGTATATGAATAAAATAAAATAGGATAAAACTTTGGAGATCTCACAAAAGAAAATACATTTGGCTTACAACAAGTGCAAATAGACAGGAAGTGTGCAAACAGTTAAAAAGTTAAAAAAAGATGTGAGAGAGCATTTTTCTTTCCAAATCTTCCATCATTTTCTCATCATGTTCGGTTGACAGCACAAATACAGACGTCGTTCTAAATCAATAACTCCATATAAGCTCAGGCTGAATCAGAAATGAGCATAATTCTGTTTTAAATTTGGAGTGAAGACAGTCTAAGTCCCTATAACCTGCTCCTAAAACACAGAACCTGGGCCTAAATACACTGTAAAAACAATAATGACTGAATTGTATTGTGCTGTAAAATGAAACACAAACACAAGTGCTGCTAATACGTCTTTTTTTTATGGAGAGACTAGAATGACACCGTGCATTTGCAGCCACGGTCCTGGGGTTTTGCCCTCGGGGGGAAAGCAGGCGCCTCCAGGACGGCTCGGACGAGGAGGAGGAGGAGGAGGAGCAGACAGAGAGAGAGGCCCAGGACAAAACACTAAACAAAGGCTTTCCATCTCATCGTCAGGACAGAAAACCTCATCATCCAACCATCATTTGCAAATATTCAGCCGTTATTTGCTATTTATTCTGTCCATATCTTTAA